AAGCCCAAAGAAAGCTGAGCTAGCCATCCTAATAGCTAACAAAACAAAATTTAAGATCACAGAAGACAAAGAAGGACATAAACTCATTGACAAGGAAGCTGTATCTACTATAAATACATATATTGCTAAGGAGCCCTGAACAATACATTTTTTAAGTTTGATACAGAATCATTACATACATACATATGTACATATAATATGTATATATATATATGGATATATCACATTCCCATGTAACCACCACTTAACAAATGGAGAAGACTTCTCTTATGCTTGCACTTAAAATTATAAAAATAGGCCATGTTAGGGCACAAAGAAAGCCCCAGTGAATTCAAAAGTATCAACATTAATTAGGCATATTCTCTGACCATAATGCCATAAAATTAGCAATAACAAAAATATTTTAAAAATTTGGAAACTAACATTACTAAATAACCCTTGGATGAAAGAATTATAAAAGAACTTTAGAAATAGAAGAACAAAGGTTTAAATACATTTATCAGGAAAGAAGAAAGGTTAAAAAATAAATGATCTAAGCATTCAACTCAAGAAGTTGGAAAAAGATTTGAGGAACAAACCCATTACTCCATGAGTCATGGAGGAACTAATATAAGAAAGGAAATAAGTGCAATAGAGAATTTTAAAAAGTAATGATGAAGAATAATAAAATGAGAAGCTGGTTCTTTGAAAATATTAGTCAGACCTCTGTTGAGACTGCTTTAAAAGAATGCAAAATAAAAATAAAAGAACAAAAAGGAAAATTACAGACAAAATGAGGCTAAATATTGTAAACTAATACATTTGAAAACCTAGATGAAAGGCATGTTTTTGGAAAAATTAAAAGGTGCTCAAATTGATGCAAAAAAGAAAACTTGAACATAACAAGCTTTAAAAAAAATTGAACTATTGGTCAAAGACACCCCATCTCATTGTAACAAAAGGCTTCAGGCCCAGAATCAGATGGTTTTGCAGATGTAGTTCTCAAAAACTTTCAAGGAACTGTTAGTTCTCAAATATACAAATTGTTCCAGAAAAAGGAAAAGAGCAGAAGCTGCCCACCTCACTTTTTGAGGCTGATAGTCTTGATTCTGAAATCAGATAAGAAGACACAAAACAATAAAGTTATAGAGCTATTTCACTTAGGAATACAGATGCAAAAATTCTAATAAAATGTTAGCTACTTGAATTCAGCAGTGTATTTTTTAAAAATCGTAAATTGGGTTTATACTAGGAATGCAAACATGATCCAAATTAGAAAACAAATGAGTGAATTACCACATTAATAAAGGGGAAACATCATGTGATAATCTCAAAGCAGAAAAAAAATAGAAGGTTCAGTACCTGTTTATATTTTCTAAAAAAAGAACTCTTAGCAAACAAAGAGAACTTTAACTTGATAAAGATAATGTAGCAAAAATTTACAGCAAAAATACCCTAATAAATTTTAAATGCATTTTTCTTTTAAGATCAGGAATTGGGCAAGGATGTTCATTCTCAATACTACTGTTTAATATACAACTGACCAATGCTGTAATGAAAGTAAAAGAAATGAGGTGTAAGTTTTGGAAGGAAATGATAAAACACATTTGCAAATGATATGACTGACTACTTTAAAAAACCAACAGTATGGCCAGAACAACTGTTAGGAATAATAAGAGTTCAGCAAGCTTTCCAGATCAATCTATAACAATCAGGAGTATTTCTCTACACCAGCAATAACCAACAAGAAAATAAAGGATCTAAAGACTTTTATAAGAAAAAATGTTAAACTCTAATGACAAATAGATGATCTGAATAAAAGGAAACAATTCATCCTCTCTGCTGGGGATATATTAATTATGTATTGGTAACAAACTACTCTCAAAATTATTGGCTTAAAACAATGAGTATTTGTTACCTCGCACAGTTTCAGAGGGGCAGAATTCCGGCAGTGGCTTAGTTGGGTGATTCTGACTCAGAGTCTCTCATGAGGTTGCAGTCAGGTTGTAGACAAGGTTGCAGTTTATTTGAAAGCCTGACACCTCTTTCAAGAAGGCCCACTTACATAGCTGTTGGCAGGAGGCCCCAGTTATTCCATAGGGCTACTCTTGACATACCAGCTCCTGTCCCACACAGAGAGCAATATGTGAGAGAGGACAGAAAGCACCTTTCTGACCATACAAGTGCCTTTTATGACTTAGTCTTGGAAGTGACATGCTCATTCTGTGCATTACAAGTTGAGTCACTAAGTCCAGCCCACATTCAAGAGCAAAGGAATTAGGTTTCAACTCTTGAAGGGAACAATATCAAAGAATTAGTGAACATATCTTTAAAACCTCCACAGGTTATATTATTAAGATGTTATTTCTCCCCAAATCTATTAATTCAATGCAACCCCAATAAAACATCCATTACTTTCTTTTTTAGAATTGCAACAAACTTAGCATTATAATTTAGAACAATAAAGAATTATGGATAGCTAAGATAATCTTCAACAAGAAGTTATGATGGGAACTTGTCCCACTAGATATACCAAGACATACTAAAGGCCTTCTTAATTAAAGAAAAAAAACCCTAATATTGGCCTAAATAGACCAGTATAACATATAAAAGGATTCAGAGACACAGCTGTATACCTATGGAACTTAATATATGATAGAAATGTACCGCATATACGAAAGGATGGATGGATTGCTCAGTAGATAGTGACAGGACTCTGGCTTATAATATGGAGAAAAATAAAACTGGATCACTACACCTCACACCACATACAAGGATGGACTCTAAATAGATTAAAGACCTAAATGTGAGAGCAATACTCTAAAGTTAATAGGAGAAAATATAGAATATCTTTGTGATCTGGGGAAAGAGAGGGATTTCTTTAAAAGCACAGATCATAAGGGAGAAAAATTGATTATATCAAAATTAAGAATCTTTATTCGACTAAGGATACTACTTAGAGTTAATAACACACAAATGTCAGAATGGGAAAGGATATCTGCAACTTCCCACACCCAAGGGATTTGTAATTAGACTAGTGAGGGACCCCTGGAAATCAATAAGAAGAGGAATATGGGAATTGGCCCAATAGGAATGTGGATATGAACAAGGAATTTATGAGGAAACCTAAAATCAAAAAGGCACATGAAGAGTACTCAAAGACATCAATTTTTTAAAATAAAAAATAAAAAACTAATGAAGTGTGACCACACCTGTTAACACTGGAAAATTTTAGAAAGCTGCATAATGCTAAGTGTCAGCAGAGACAGGAATGCAGGCATGTTCATTTGTTGCTCCATCCGTTTCAGATAACAATCTGGCATTGCTTACAGTAGTATACATCCCCTCTGACCCAGCAATTCTTCTCTGTGTGTACATCCTAATTTTTTTTTTACATTGGCTCATAAGGAGGCATTTACAAGGCATTATTTATCTAAATGGGTGTTGGAGGCAACACAAGTGTCCCTTGTTGGGAGCACCTAGGGGCAAAATAATGCACTGGATGCACATACTGGTGTTTATTGCAACCATTAGAAGCAATGGATAGATTAGATATACACATAACACCCCAGATGGATCTTAAAAACATAATGTTGGTTGAAAGAAAAGTGAAAAACAGAATGACACTATCATTTACTTCAATTAAAAGCATAGACAAAAATGCAGATTTTCTATGAAATCACACAAAAAGATACACATTAAACCCAATATAGTGGTTATCTGTGGGAGGAAGAGAATGGTAGTTGGGTGCAGGAATAAAAGAGAATAAATAAAACGAGGGGCTTTGCATGTGTCATGAACTGTGTAATATGATCACAGCTTAGATACTTTGAGAGGCAAACCAGGACCTCTATTTTTTTTTTTTTGCATGGGGGCTCAGATTCTCTGAGGGCTATCTAAGACTAATATATAATACGGACAATGTGAAATCTACTCATGTCCATCCTGAGCATAGGAGGTCTGGATATGGCAAAAGCCAGACAAAAAAAAGGTCCATTTTGTGGATGCATACCATACTGTACTCTGAAAGTTAATAAATCTAGTCTGTGTTTGGGAGGCTGACTCTTAAAAGGCTGAACAAGTCCATTCTATGGATAAGAAATCTAGAGTCTCTGAGGGCAAACTACCCCATTCTTTCTTGATGGAGAGCTCAGAAATACAAAGCTGGTCAAATCCATTTACTTGTAAAAGGTATCTCGCATACTCTGAAGGCTTGACAAGACCAAACTGTGGGCAATGGGTTCAGACACTCCTTGCTTTGGGTAAGTCCACTGTGTACTGTGAAAGTCCTTTCTGTGGATCAAGGGCTCGGCAACCCTGAGTGACAGCAAAAAATCGTTCCATGGACTGGCATTTACTCCCTCTGAAGAATGGAGCATCCTGTTTTGTAGAAGGTATCTCAGGCAGTCTGCTGGTGAGGAAATAAAGAGACTGGCTTCAGGAGACTATCAGATAAGGATGAGGGCTGAAGTCAGAAATGAGAAGAAATGACGACACGGAAGAGACCCATGACAGGTGGCTAGATGTTGAGCACAGAGAAGAAAACGTAAGGGTCAAGATTAGACACTGAGAAAACATAGGGTCTGACGTTAAGGACTGTGAAGGGTGATGATATCAGGGGCAGTGGAGGAGGGGGGAATAAAACATCAGGCCCTCGAGCTATAATATGGAGTTAGAGGACTAGAAGGTGAAGGAGGTTATCCGAGGACGGTTGGTAATTTCATCTTCAGGGACCTAGAGGAAGACGACTGAGATGGTGAGGAAGACGTCAGAACAAACAAGGGAAATGACGTCAAGGATGGTGAGGGTGATGTCAGGGACCAAAAGGGGTGTAAGAGGGAAAAGGTTTGTGCGTGGAATGAGGACTGCTGGGTCAGCGGAGGGACACCGATATCAGAGCCCAGCATCATCACAAAGGCCGCTTACGAGACTAAAGCGCACAGAGCGGATTGCTTCTTTCGGTGGGCCGTTCCTTCCTTCCTCCCACCCCGCCCCTCACTGGCCTCAACTAATGAATGCGCACGCCAGCACGCACAGGGCACGTTCCGTGACGTATCCGCTACGTGTGCTTTATCAGGCGTCTTCCCGCGCGGCATTCCTCCCAGTCTCTCTGCTCCTCGGCGGTGACTGTCTTCGGGGCTGTTTTGCTTCTTAACTTCCAGGTAAGCAACGGATGTGGGGCTACCACTCCTCGCCTCTCTGATGTGCGCCACGCCGGCCGAGAGCGCGGTGCGCGAGCTCGGCTTCTGACCTAGGCTCGGGTTTCTCCGGGTTGGGCGAGCCCCCTGCTCAAAGGCGAAACCTTTGGGTAGGCAGGAAGCTGACGCGTTTTGTCCGAATGTGAGGAATGACGGGAGAGGCTGGCCGCGTCTGTGGCGCAGTGACCACGCGACAGCCAAGAGCATGCGGGCGCCCCTTTTCCTCACGTGACCGCCGCCATCTTGTTTTGTGGGCGCAGAGGGAACGCAAGGACGGTCTGGGCCTGCGCGGCAGCACAAAATGACGGGCGTGGCGGCCAAGGATGATGTGGGCATGCGTGATGGCAGCCCTCAAATGGCTTCCTCAGTGAGCCGGCCCCGCAGATTCCCGCTTTTTCGGCCTTTACTTAATTACCTTTTATCTTGTTCCCTCGTGTCTGTTAACTGTTGTTTCCCCCTTTGCTTTTGTCTCCTACAACCTCTTTGTCCTTCCCACATCCACTGTTTTTCCCACCATTCTCCCCCACAGGACACCAATTCACTGCCATGTCCTCTGAAGAAGGGAAACTCTTTGTGGGAGGGCTCAACTTCAACACCGATGAGCGGGCTCTGGAAAACCACTTCAGCAGCTTCGGGCCTATTTCTGAGGGTGAGACGTGGGCCAGACCCATGGTGAGGGTTCTGTGGGACAGGAAGCCCTCTTGAATTTCAAGAAACGTTGACTGACAGGTCAGGACCGCAGGCCGTCACAGACTTCTTTACATGTTTGTTCCTAGGCCTAAGGAGAATCTGATAACTTTGAATTGAAAACTGTGGGGAGGGGTCTATTCTCTACCTGATAGCCCTTGGCATTCAGGTTTTCTCTTAACTCCTCATTCTCCCTTCACCAGTGGTCGTTGTCAAGGATCGGGAAACTCAGCGATCCCGGGGTTTTGGCTTCATCACCTTCACCAATCCAGAGCATGCCTCAGATGCCATGAGAGCCATGAATGGAGAGGTGAGGCCTCTTAACTGCATAGGGGCCCTGCCCCTCTCCGACTTCCACCATTCTTTCTGTTTTTCCCTCTGTGTCTGCTAGGGGCAGCGCGGCTACCAAGCCTGCAGTGCCCACTCACAGAAGCGTGACTGCCTTCTGTTCTAGGGGGTGGAGGGCAACGGCAGACAGAGCCAGGCTGCCTGGGAGGCGACGACTGGTCCTGCATGAGGCCGAGAAGCCACCTGTGGATGGTTGACCTGCCCTGGGCTTAGGTAGTAGAGTCTGCAGACCTGCGGGCCTGGCCCGGAGAGGACCTCGTGAGTCTTCTGGGATGGACTCTGAAGCCTCAAATCAAGAGAGGTGTCTGTCTAGCCCAGATAGTTGGGCAGCTTAGAGGAGTGGGGAGGAGAACTCAGCCTGAGTTCAGTCAAGATGTAAGTAGTAGCAAGGGGTACACGGTGGATTCAGGTCATTTTGTGGGATTCTGTAGCTCCTGCTAAAGCCATTCTGGTCAAAGGAGCTTGTTCTCGGAACGTGGCACCCAGAATCTGGTGCCCAGAAGGAGTTTCTGGGCTCTTTATGCCTGCCTGCCCTGCCCACTCTTCCCTCACCACTATCCTATCTGAGCACCAATCTATCCTCCTTGTGTCTCCCCACACCTAGTCTCTGGATGGTCGCCAGATCCGTGTTGATCACGCAGGCAAGTCTGCCCGTGGAACCAGAGGGGGTGCCTTTGGGCCCCTTGGGCGTGGTCGCAGCTACTCTAGAGGTAAGTGCAGTGGTAACTTTGAACATGGGGTGTGGGGGTGAGCTGTCTGTTAACTGAGCTATGTCTGGATAACTGCCATTTAAATATTTTTTATCTGCTGTAGGTGGTGGGGACCAGGGCTATGGGAATGGCAGGTATGACAGTCGACCTGGAGGATATGGATATGGATATGGAAGGTCCAGAGACTATGGTGGCAGGTGGGTCAACCAAGTGGCTCAGGTACTCTGGTGGTACTACCTCCCTCTCAGGAGCTTGGCTGCCCAAGTGTTCATAAGTGTGAAACTTAAAATTTTGAATTACAGTAATATGTTAAAAGACTTTAAGATTATATAATTATAATGTAGATGATATCTAAGTTGTACTGTGTTGGCTAACTGGTGAATTAACATTTAATATGATTTAATATGCTATATGTAAGTTATGTACCATATAACCCATTTTTACATGATGTGCATGTTTAATATCTGGCACATTAAAGTTACAGTGCATATAAAATGTGACAGGATATGTAAATACATAGTTTTTAATATCATCAGGGTATATGTAATACATTCCTGTAATACACCTGTGTATGTTTTTTTCCCAGAAGCCAGGGTGGTTATGACCGCTACTCAGGAGGAAATTACAGAGACAATTACGACAACTGAGATGAGGCATGTGCACCTAATTGTGAGTGAGATTTGTATGTTACCATGGAGCAGACCCCTGTCCATCAGCCCTTCTGTGTTCTTCACCTGGCCCACCTGACCCATTCCTAGGCCTCCCTAGCTCTCTGGTGCCTGTCAGGGCTAGACAGCTTGGCGGTTTGGTAGGGGAGGGATGTCTAGAAGCCTGTCTCCCTGCAGTCACTTTCTCCTGCTGGCCCTGGTGGAAATGAAGGGGTGTCCCTGGTGTCCAGCCCTCAGCAATTCTTACCAGCCTTAGGAGGTGAGCCTTGTTAACCTGTTCCTTCCTGACATCACAGTTCTCCCCCTTCTTACTGTTCTCAGATACACAAGGAATAAAACAACTTCTGATCCAGGATCGTCCTTCCAAATGGCTATATTTATAAAGGTTTTTGGAGCTGCACTGAAAAACGTCTGGTTTAAGTACACCAACTTGTTTTTGAATTGAGCTCCCAAGGTGGTTTGTTAAAGACCTTTTGGAAAGTTAATGTGTTTTAAAAAAATTTTTTTCTCCCATGTAAAGACAAATTCTGGGACATTTGTAGAGTCTGGGTGTTTTTCATTTTCCCAATTTTTGAGTTTGGGCTCTCAGGATTATTGGTTCTGGCAAGAAAAAATTGCCAGACTGATTGTTTTTTTAATAATGTGTATCTAGGGACATTTTAAAAACCTGTACACAATGTTTATCATGGTTAGGAAGCAGTTTCCGAACAAGACATCAAGAATAACTTAGAGGTGTGTTTTACTCAACATCACTGCCCTGATTATATAGAAGTTGCTTAAAAATATTTGTGAATGTCATTTTTTTTAATACTGGAAGAAAAAACTATTCTGTTGTGTTTCATGTAGTGTTTAGGATGTTCTTCATAGAGTTGATTAAAAAGTTGAAATCTGAAAACTAACACTGATAGTGATTTTTTCTTACTCAACCGAATTTGCAAATGAAAAATAGATCTGGAGGGAGGCTTTAAGGAAAGAAATGGGAGGTGCATGGTTAGGGACTGCTAAAACTGAGGAGAGACCTTAAGTTCAAAGTTTGGTTGAGTTGGGAATTGGTTTAGGTATATACCTGAGGCTTGGGGGTCGTGGGTACACGTGAAATCCCCTTAATGGCTGAATTGGGTTTGCTGAGATGGTCTGGTCCTATTGTCTTGGTCAGTGGCAGCTTGATTTGAATCTCCTTAGCTTCTCTGAGCATCATGTTGGTTCCTTCTTCACAGGTTTGTTCTGAAAATGTAAGGTGAACCTTGCCATAAACCGGTTCCAGTTCTTTCCCTGAAATGGTGGTTGTGGGAGAGGTGTACTAAACTCAGCTTGGTGTGAGGGACATGGGAGAACCCTGGTTTGGAAACGGTTGTAAAATCAGACTGAATTCAGATTCCAGGGTTCAAATCCAGCCTCTGCTGCTGCCCAGTTATTTGACCTCAAGTGCGTCATTTAACTTGTGTGCCTTATAGCCTTGTGGGTGTTTTACCTTTGCTGTTAAGGGTTAATTAAGTGCATTTAATAGGTATGTACAGTTCCTGAGAACAGTTGGCAAAGCCTTCAGTCACAGGGATTCCATCTGTGATGGTCTGAAGGTCTTCCATTGGCAAGTCGTGTCAGTGGCTGGTTGGTTTTTATACTTGTAGCTGGTGTTAGTTCCTGAGTTCTTTATCTCCCTTTAGTCATTGTGTTAGTGGCTGTAGTGGGAGTCCAATGGGCTTTATCTCCCTCTGTTTGGAATTTGTAGTCAGTTGTGTTCATGGCTTCTACTACCTAGTTGATGTTGTGTTGAGGCAAGTACCACCAGATTGTAAGTTCTAAGACATTCTAACCTGCCTTAGTCCCTCATTTATGAGACGTGTTAATGTACTGAATGTATTCCCTCAAAATTCTTAAGTTGAAACCCTCCCTAAAATGATTATTAGGGGGTGAGGCCTTTTTGGGGTGATTGACTGAGGTCAGCTCAACCATACTGGCACTTTGATCTTGGACTTCAACCCCCAGAATTGTGAGGAATTTCTGTTTGTGGTTTATAAGCCACTCAGTCTGGTACTGTTAACAGCAACCTGAACTGAGACAGTATGGGTATTAAGTCCCAATGTTGGCAGCCTGCCTCCCAGGGTCTCCCAGCTAGTTGGGTCAGGCCCCATGGACCCTTCTTCCTCCCACCCAAATGCTCATGAAACTTGCTTTGGTAGGTGGATAGAAACTCAGGAGATTTCTCAGACCTCCTGCTTGGCCCACTGTGCTAGACCCACGTAATGGCATTGTGGCTAGCCCTACCAGTTGAGTGCTTGGTCTGAAGTGGCATTCTTTGCTGGCCTTATGGGAACTAATGCAGTGGGAGCTTGCAGGACCACCATTACTGCCTTGGGGTAGAGAGCACCTCTGCCCTCTCAGGAAGTAAAAAATATCCCTTTGACCCTCCAATGTGGCCTGAGAAAGAGTCCCATAATCAACCACAAAGTTCCTGCAGTAAAACAATCCCCTAAGTGACATCAACAAAGACCATAAATAGCCTTTCTATATGTGAATGACAACTTGATCAACCTGCTCTGCGCTCCGGATTTGGGAAGGTACCTTGTGGTACTCCAGCCTAGAGAAGCCTAATACCTTGCTCTTACTTGCTCTAAAGAAAGGAGCCTAGAAGACTCAAGTTTTTTTTTTTCTGATACTACAATTGTTGAGCAATGAAATAACCAGATGGGAGTTTCAAGGCCCGTTATAACATGTGTATTAGTTCTCTGCTTCGGTTTGACTGGAATATCATGTGCATGTTTCCCAAAAAACCATCAATCCCAGAAACATTAAATGGTGCATTGAGAAACCTGTGTCCCAAGGCTTGTAGACCCTTGGCCTGCAAATACTTCTATTTTGAGGCCCTGGATCTTGCCTGTACTGAAAACTTTGATACATCTCTTATAAGACACTCTTGTGCATTTCAAGGTTCAGTATAAATCCAAAGTCCCACCCAATGTGGACTGGAATCAGTATTCAGACCCTGATTCCTGGCTTATTTTTTGCTTTGCCTCAGGTTCAATGTGTAAAATGGGACATGTGCACCTCACGGGTTAAGGGTAAGAAACGACATGTTCAGAGCAGGGCAGGTCTCTGATGCTACCCCCACACTTGCCCCACAGTCTGGATTTGGGTAGAAGAATTCCTTTCAAGAAACTCCTTAAAACAGTTTTCTGTGAATGGAAATATGTAAGAACAGCATCTTGGATAATGATCAGTAGCCAGTGTTCCTACATTTGTTAATCAAGACACACAGCCCCTGTCTATCTGCATTCCTCTTCACCACCCCTCCCTGAGCTAGCATGAGGCCCATGACCCCTTAAAATTCAGAGGGCACAAAGATCTAAAAAAAATTTTTTTCATACCCAGTGTCAAGACCTGAAGCTTTTCATAATCTTATTTTCCCATGTAATGTGAATATGCATATGATATGTTGCAGAAATGTTAGTGTTTGGTTATGGAAAGCTGCCCTAGATCCTATAGGGAGGAGCTCAACATACAGTGAATGCACAAAGAAAGTTAAGACTAAATGGTTAACCCATGGCATTGATCTGCATAAGCATTTCTAATATGCTGTGGGGTCAAACTTAAACTCAATTTTAAGCTGTAAGTAAAACTCATCAGCTCTGGAAGTTTATTATTTCTAGAGCTCAATAGCTACCTGAGGACAGAATTTGCAGTCTCTAAACTTTATGACTGCAATCCATAGTAAGTACATTTTTATCATTGTAGTCCAATCCACCCATTTGTGTAAGTGGAAGAAAGATTTACTGAAGGAAACGTGCCAAGTTCCTTGATATTTCCTAGTTTATTGTACTTTAACAAAGACTGCCCCAAACCACTCAAATGTTGATGGAGCCTGCAGTGTAGAAAAGGCTGTATGATTGTTGAATCTGGGTGATAGGTACATGAAAGTTACATCAATACTTTTGAAAGATGTTCCATAATACAAAGTAAATTCAAGTGTGGTTAGTTGGCCCCCTGCATTGGCATGGGAGGTGGGTAGCTATCTGGTTTTCTGCTGGCCTGCTCTGTCCCTGCAAACCCTCTCCTTAGTTGCAGGTTATCTCCCAGGGCCTCCAGAAATAGTTCTATGAGTAGTAACCTCTATTTATTGATACCTGACATCCCTAAAGAGATTTTTCAGATACTGGCTGTAGAACCCAGTCCTGCTTTCCTGCATGATCATATACCAGGTCTAGCTTCTGACGGAAGGACCATACCTTTGCCCAGCCCCAGAGGGCCTGCCTTCCTCTGTAGCCATCTAACCTCTAAAATGGGGATAATAAAGGCAGCTTAAATGAGCCAAGATGTGGGAAACACCCAAAACTGGTTGTTAGATGTAGCCGAGTGTGTTTGCTATGTGTGTCAGACAGTAGGGACACAGCAATGGATACAACAATTCTTTCCCTCAGGAATCCTGTATTGGTGAGGTCTACAGACAAGTAATAAATTGATGTGTAATATAACATTAAGGAGTGGGCAAGCCTTAAGGGAATAAAGCAGGGTGTGTAGAGAGTGGATGGGATATTTTATTTTATACAGGGTGGCCACGGAAAGCAACTCGAGGTGACCTTTTAAGATGCAGATGGAGAGCAAGCAAGGAGGATATGAGGCATAGGTCACAGCTGTGCCTTGGTGCTCCTGCCTTGCATGGCTTCATGCAGGCAAACTGATCTAAGTATTGTCAGAACACCCTGTAATCCTTGGAACACAGCATGAGAGGCTTGTGAGAACTGCCATGAGGCCTTTCTTCACTCAACTCCTCATCTGCCAAAGAGGCTGTCATGAGACAGCTTCTCATCACCTGAAGTTCTGGTGAGGTATGAGTGGGTTTTCTGCCCCCTCCCTTCCCCTGACTTGGGGCTGTACAACTGCTTAGCAGGGAATGAGCTTGACAATGGTGTATCACCATCGGTGCTCCTGTCATCTGACCTCTTTTATTTTGGTGTTAATCCAGCACAAGGGATATGAGCTGGCATCTATGGCTATTCTTTTTCTGTCTCTAAGTAGCAAACATATGAATCAAATGGGCCTTGTTTCTTCACTATCCAAATTGGTCAGCTTTGCCCTGACATCTGGGAGAGAATTACAGACAGAAGGAGAAGCGAGCAAGTGCAAAGGCCCTGAGGTGGGAGCTTGCTTGGTGTGAGGAATAGCAAAAAGATTGTGTGGCCCAGCATAGTGAACAAGGGGTCAGTGGCAGGAGGTGAAGTCAGAGAGGTGACAGGGACCTGGTCCTGTAGGGCCTGACTGGCCATGGGGAGGACTTGGGCTTTTTCTCTGAGAGAGAGGGAGCCATGGCAGGGGTGTGAGCAGAGAAGTGCCCAGGGCTGACTTGGGTTGAAACAGGATGCTCTGGCTGCTATGAGGACAGATGGGGAGGGGGCAAGGGTGGAAGCGGTTAAGTGGCCACTGCAGTAGTCCCTGCCAGGAACAGCAGTGGTGGCAGTGTGCATGGAAAGCAGAGGTCAGATGCTGGATAAATTCTAAGGAGGAACTGATAGGACTTGCTGACAGATCAGATGAGGTGGGTGGGATGTGAGAAAGTATTTGTGTGAACTCCAGTGTGGGTTCATAACAGTAATTTGGGAGCTTGTGTTAAATAGTCTAGTGGTTAAGAGCAAGGATTCCCAGAGCCAGGTGGCCTGGGTGTAAATTCAGCTCCATCACTGAGTGAGTGTGTGACCTTGGGCAAGTCACTTTGTTAGAAAGGTAGACGAGCAGATAGAGGGAGAATAAAGCCAGTAAAGCTCACTAAAAGGGACTCAAAGAGTTAACCAGAGAGCCAGAAAAGACAGATTAGTTGAAGTTTCAAGGACTAGGAGGTGCTTGGAATGTTCAAACTCCCCAGACAAAAAAAAAAAAAACACCCAGATGAGAGGTCTCCAAGCACAGA